GGTGCATAGATGGCGGTGCGTGGATGGAGGTGCATGTATGGCGGTGCGGGGATGGAGGTGCATATATGGCGGTGCGGGGATGGCGGTGCATATATGGCGGTGCGGGAATACGATGCTCACAGTCCGGGGACGAGGGTCTGTCTGTAGGTGGATGGCAGGCGCCGGATGCGATGGGTGGGATCGGACTCCTGCCGGCGGCTCGTTGTGTTTGTCGGTGAATGTTTAGGTGAATTCTGAGGGAATGTCGGTGATTAGTGACTCTGCTGCTGTATTAATCATCCACCTCAACACTAGGGGGCGCCCCAAGCAGTCTCCCATAGCAACCAATCAGAAATCACCGCTGCCCTTCAGACAGTAAGCTGGGAGCCGATTGGATCATTTATCTTCTGTGCTGCTGGGACGCCGTGCACCCCTCTGTAATAGAGGAACTCTGACCCGAGACTGGCCGTCCTCATCTGACCTGCCGCAGGCCACAGAGGCAATGGGCGGGGTTTATAGAACTGGCGCTGGATTGGACGGGGGGCGGTTGGTGTATATTTCCCGACATAAGTTTTATTTATAATACAACTTTCTGGTGATTTGGAATAAAAAGCAGAAAGTACAATAAATGCTGATTGTGGCGCCTGTTCTATAAATCCCCCGTTATCCTGCGTCCCGCCATCTTTCCTGCGTCCTCTGCATGGCGCCTTCCCTCATCCGCTGCATGATGTCACCTTCTATTGTCTATATTATACAATGTATATCAATGTATCCGTGTCACAGATCACAGTGTCATGTATGTAGGACACGGAGACCCCCCCCAGCCCCCCACACTGCGTACATACATCACATCCTATACTCCTATATACTCTCTATACACCTATATACTCCTATATACTCTCTATACACCTATATACTCTCTATACACCTATATACTCTCTATACACCTATATACTCTCTATACACCTATATACTCTCTATACACCTATGTACTCTCTATACACCTATGTACTCTCTATATACACCTATATACTCTCTATACACCTATGTACTCTCTATATACTCCTATATACTCTCTATACACCTATATACTCCTATATACTCTCTATACACCTATATACTCTCTATACACCTATATACTCTCTATACACCTATATACTCTCTATACACCTATATACTCTCTATACACCTATATACTCTCTATACACCTATATACTCTCTATACACCATTTATACTCTCTATACACCTATATACACCTATATACTCTCTATACACCTATATACTCTCTATATACACCTATATACTCTCTATACACCTATATACACCTATATACTCTTCATACACCTATATACTCTCTATATACTCTCTATATACTCCTATATACTCTCTATACACCTATACACCTATATACTCTCTATATACCCTCTATATACTCCTATATACTCTCTATATACTCTCTATATACTCCTATATACTCTCTATATAATCTCTATATACTCCTATATACTCTCTATATAATCTCTATATACTCTCTATATACTCCTATATACTCTCTATATACTCTCTATATACTCTCTCTATACACCTATATACTCTCTCTATACACCTATATACTCTCTATATACACCTATATACTCTCTATATACTCTCTATACACCTATGTACTCTCTATATAATCTCTATATACTCTCTATATACTCTCTATACACCTATATACTCTCTATATACTCTCTATATACTCCTATATACTCTCTATACACCTATATACTCTCTATATACTCTCTATATACTCCTATATACTCTCTATATACTCTCTATATACTCCTATATACTCTCTATATACTCTCTATATACTCTCTATATACTCCTATATACTCTCTATACACCTATATACTCTCTATATACTCTCTATATACTCTCTATATACTCTCTATATACTCCTATATACTCCTATATACTCCTATATACTCTCTATATACTCTCTATATACTCTCTATATACTCTCTATATACTCTCTATATACTCTCTATACACCTATATACTCTCTATATACTCTCTATATACTCCTATATACTCTCTATACACCTATATACTCTCTATATACTCTCTATATACTCCTATATACTCTCTATATACTCCTATATACTCTCTATATACTCTCTATATACCCTCTATACACCTATATACTCTCTATATACTCTCTATATACTCCTATATACTCTCTATATACTCTCTATATACTCCTATATACTCTCTATATACTCTCTATATACTCTCTATATACTCCTATATACTCTCTATATACTCTCTATATACTCCTATATACTCTCTATATACTCTCTATATACTCTTTTTATACTCCTATATACTCTCTATATACTCTCTATATACTCCTATATACTCTCTATATACTCTCTATATACTCTCTATATACTCCTATATACTCTCTATATACTCTCTATATACTCCCTATATACTCCTATATACTCTCTATATACTCTCTATATACTCCTATATACTCTCTATATACTCTCTATATACTCTCTATATACTCTCTATATACTCCTATATACTCTCTATATACTCTCTATATACTCTCTATATACTCTCTATATACTCCTATATACTCTCTATACACCTATATACTCTCTATATACTCTCTATATACTCTCTATATACTCTCTATATACTCCTATATACTCTCTATATACTCTCTATATACTCTCTATATACTCTCTATATACTCCTATATACTCTCTATATACTCTCTATATACTCTCTATATACTCTCTATATACTCTCTATATACTCTCTATATACTCTCTATATACTCTCTATATACTCTCTATATACTCTCTATATACTCCTATATACTCTCTATATACTCTCTATATACTCTCTATATACTCTCTATACACCTATATACTCCCTATATACTCTCTATACACCTATATACTCTCTATACACCTATATACTCTCTATACACCTATATACTCTCTATACACCTATATACTCTCTATACACCTATATACTCTCTATACACCTATATACTCTCTATACACCATTTATACTCTCTATACACCTATATACACCTATATACTCTCTATACACCTATATACTCTCTATATACACCTATATACTCTCTATACACCTATATACACCTATATACTCTTCATACACCTATATACTCACTATATACTCTCTATATACTCATATATACTCTCTATACACCTATACACCTATATACTCTCTATATACCCTCTATATACTCCTATATACTCTCTATATACTCTCTATATACTCCTATATACTCTCTATATAATCTCTATATACTCCTATATACTCTCTATATAATCTCTATATACTCTCTATATACTCCTATATACTCTCTATATACTCTCTATATACTCTCTCTATACACCTATATACTCTCTCTATACACCTATATACTCTCTATATACACCTATATACTCTCTATATACTCTCTATACACCTATGTACTCTCTATATAATCTCTATATACTCTCTATATACTCTCTATACACCTATATACTCTCTATATACTCTCTATATACTCCTATATACTCTCTATACACCTATATACTCTCTATATACTCCTATATACTCTCTATATACTCCTATATACTCTCTATACACCTATATACTCTCTATATACTCTCTATATACTCCTATCTACTCTCTATACACCTATATACTCTCTATATACTCTCTATATACTCCTATATACTCTCTATATACTCTCTATATACTCTCTATATACTCTCTATACACCTATATACTCTCTATATACTCTCTATACACCTATATACTCTCTATATACTCTCTATATACTCTCTATACACCTATATACTCTCTATATACTCTCTATATACTCCTATATACTCTCTATATACTCCTATATACTCTCTATATACTCCTATATACTCTCTATACACCTATATACTCTCTATATACTCTCTATATACTCCTATATACTCTCTATATACTCCTATATACTCTCTATATACTCTCTATATACCTTTCTTAGTACATAGACATCATATATATTGTCTGTACATTCGCTGTAGATATTGACCAGCTGTGAGTATATAGATGGGGTATATACATGTATGTTCTGCACACGGGCCGTGCCGTGTGTTCTGTATGTAACGTGTTCTCTGTTTTCTCCGGAGGCCGATGATACTTACATTCAGCTGAAGAAGGAGTTGGAGTATTTGGACCTCAAGGTAAATATTCTTCTCTCGTATCTTCCCGAGATTCTAACTGATTTTCCAGCCTTGTGAAGTCTTCTGGGGGCCCCGACGTGTCTGATGCGGGGGCCCGACGTACAGTGAAGGATTCTGGGACGAGATTGAAGAAATAGGTCACCAGCACTCCATGAGTTAAAATGAATGAGTCCTTTTAATGGACAATGATGTCACAGGAATCCAACATGAGCCGACGTTTCGGGGCCACACAGGGTCCCTTCCTCAAGGCAAGAGATGTGACGGTGCCATCCGTGAAGTTACTTCGAGCACCATCTATTTGATTGTTGGCCGGGACTGCTGAAAGGTGTGCGGAGGGCACCTCCATCAATTGCATCGGATTCTGGGACGAGACGTGTGACAGTCATCGTAGGATCACGGATCCCTCCACCGAAATATCGCTCCGTGTTCAGAGGGGGATTCTGTCCTATTATTGGGGGCCCCAGAACAATGACACACTGACACTTGGGGGCCCCAGAACAATGACACACTGACACTGGGGGCCCCAGAACAATGACACACTGACACTTGGGGGCCCCAGAACAATGACACACTGACACTTGGGGGTCCAGAACAATGACACACTGACACTTGGGGCCCCAGAACAAGGACACACTGACACTTGGGGGCCCCAGAACAATGACACACTGACACTTGGGGGTCC